CCGTTGAACCAGGATCTATGGTGTCCCAAACCTTGTTTATACGTAACAAAACCTTCATCCTCATAGCCCATACCGTGTAGTTTATACGTATCAATAAATACAAGGCCCGTCTTGTAGCTAAAGGATACGTACAAGAATCCGGTATTGACTTTGAAGAAGTGTTCGCACCGGTTGCTAGACTTGAAACCATACGGTTATTGATTGCATTGGCGGCATCTCATGGATGGGAGATTCATCATTTGGATGTGAAAACCGCATTCTTACATGGAGAATTGAAGGAGGATGTCTATGTTGATCAACCGGAAGGCTTTGAAGTAAAAAGAGAAGAACACAAAGTCTACAAGCTTTCTAAGGCGCTATACGGATTAAAACAAGCTCCTAGAGCTTGGAACACGAAGTTGGATCAAATCTTGAAGGAGTTGAAGTTCAAGAAATGTTCTAAGGAGAATTCCGTGTACCGCAAGGAAGAAGAAGGTACTCTACTAATTGTTGCGGTTTATGTTGACGATTTGTTTGTGACGGGAGACACTGTCAAGGTTATTTGTGAATTCAAGAAAGATATGTCATCAAAGTTTGAGATGTCGGATCTAGGGAAGCTTACTTATTACCTCGGGATGGAAGTTCGTCAAGGAGAAGAAGGAATTGAAATCAAACAAGAAGCTTATGCGAGAAAGATCTTGTTAGAGGCTGGTATGGAACCTTGCAATCCTACAAAAATTCCTATGATGTTTGGATTACAAGTTTCAAAAGCTCAAGAGGAGCCGGAGATAGATCCTACAAGCTATAGGAGGAACATTGGTTGTTTAAGGTATTTGCTTCACACAAGACCGGATTTAGCTTTTGCGGTGGGAGTTGCTAGCCGTTATATGCAGAGCCCTCGAAAGTCTCATGGAGAGATCATGAAGCAAATTCTCCGATACCTAAAAGGAACAATGGCGTTTGGTTTGAGATTTAGCCGTGAAGGATCAAAGAGTATTGTTGGGTACAGCGACAGCAGCCACAACATTGATCAAGACGACGGAAGAAGCACCACAGGCCACGTTTTCTACTTTGGATCATCACCAATAAGTTGGTGTTCGCAAAAACAGGGAACAGTTGCTCTCTCATCATGTGAGGCCGAGTTCATGGCAGCAACAGAGGCGGCACGTCAAGCGATTTGGTTACAAGATATTTTGAGTGAGATCACGGGATGGAAGACCGAGAAGATACTCATCAAGATCGACAACAAATCGGCTATTGCATTAACAAAGAACCCCGTATTTCATGGTAAAAGCAAACACATTCACAAGCGTTACCATTTTATACGGGAGTGTATCGAGAATGAAGTTGTTGATGTGGAACACGTCCCCGGAGAAGAACAAAAGGCGGACATACTAACTAAAGCATTGGCAAGGGTCAAGTTTGGTGAAATGAGAAGCATGATCGGAGTTCAAGACTTAAGCTCAAGCGAGTTGAAGCTTAAGAGGGAGATTGTTGGGTAAGCTTCAAAGGCTTGAGGCCCATGTAATCATAAACAAGTCGGTTTATGATTAGAAGGTTCTAGATAATGTTTAGTTAGGATTTGGAGTTATCAAACCCTAATCATAATAGGTTTAGGAGTCATCTAAGTCCTATATATATAGATGTTTTGTTGAGTTGTGGAAAACATCAAGAGAGAACATTGAGAGCTTTGTGTTTAGTTTTTGAGAGAGTTTTCTAAACATTAATAAAGAAGAGTGATTTCTTTAAAGGTTACTTTGTTCTTAAGAAACTAGAAGATTCTTATGGGTTTCTCACCGGTATTAAACAAAGAGGCTCCAATAAAGATACAACAGCGAATTGGCAATGATTAATAAGCGACGGATTCTACTTCTAATCTTCAACCTAATTCTCAGATCCCTGAATTGATTTCTGCAAATTAAAACTCAATGGAAAACTGGTAGGAAAAGAACAGTAGTTAGCGAAATTGCTTACACTGTAATTACCAACACAGTCCATATGAGATTATTGAAACCAAACAAAACTAAAAAAAACAGACACACAAAGGAAAGAGACCGATCTACGTCGGTGGAGGGTAAACCGAAAGCCAGCCATACTCCGCCATGGAGACGCGACGATGCTGGACGGGAAGCCGGACATCTCTACTATGGAAGCCAGACAATTCCGGACATAAGCCAGCCAGCTTTGCTGTAGTAGCCAAAAACTGCCGGAAAAGAGCTAGCCAACGGCGAAAATAAATCCACCGATGCCAGACGAGAAAACCAGCCACCGTCGTTGAGGTAACCGACTGTGCTGGGCATGTGTCAGCCAACGCCAATGAAGAAACTGGCCGTTGCCGGTGCTAAAAGTAGTCGTCGGAAACTTTCTCTCTCTAAAGGATTAAGAGAGAGAAGAGAGAGAAAGTCATCCTTCTTTTTATTTTTTGGTTCAAAATATAGAAGAAATTGTTTTTGTTTTCGAAAATTAAGCGACACCAAAAGAAGTTCAAATTTAATGTTTTGAGGCCCATTAAGATTCAATGCAAATGATTAGCCCACTATTACAACTAGCCCACTATCACGACTAGGCCCTTCATGTTATGTCGTGTGGATGCTTCTCACGCGCAACGAGAGCGTGTAAAACGCACGCGCTGAAGAACTCTACCACTGAAGTAAAATTAGAATCCCTAAATCTGTACTCTGCAAGTCGGAGAAGAAGAAGAAGAAATCGATTGGTTTGATCAACGGCGATTTCGTCTCGACAATGTTTTGGCTAAAGAAGAAGAGGAAGTCGCTGAAAACGGAGACGAAGAAACGGTCGCCGGAATCAACCTCAAATCCGTCACTTCCGTACGATTTGATAGTGAACATCTTAGCCCGCGTCTCGCGATCGTATTACACAAAACTCTCCTTAGTCTCCAAAAGCTTCCGATCGATCCTTGCTTCACCGGAGCTATACCAAACCCGAACCCTCTTAGGTCGAACCGAGACATTTCTCTATGTGTGCTTACGCTTCCCTAATGAAGCTAACCCTCGCTGGTTCACTCTTTACCGGAAACCTAATCAAACCCTAACTAAGAAGAAGAAGAAGAAAGAGGATTCAAGTGGCAATCTTTTGGCTCCAATTTCATTTCTCAACTCTCCTCCTGTGGAATGGTCAAGTCTCATCGCTGTTGGTTCTTATCTTTACGCCATTAACGCAGCCATCGACGATTCTCCATGCTCTAACGTTTGGTACCTTGACTGTCGAACTCACTCTTGGCTTGAAGCTCCAAGAATGCGAATTGCTCACACTGATACTCCATATGATGGGAATGTGTATTTAGCAGAAAGCTCTGAAAGTCCAGATTCTTTGAACTGTGTTGAAGTGTACAACACAGAGACTCAAGCTTGGAATCCTGTGCCGCCCAAAAGACGGATATTCGAATTAGAAAATTTGGAAGGAACGATTTACATGAACCTTGAAGGAATGTCTCCTTGGCAGGCTACGGCTTTTAAGCCAAAGGTTTCGACAAGCGAAATGGTAGGATTGCATACGATTTTGGGTCGGGTTTCTTATTGTACGATTGATAAAGTAGACTATCATTATGCCCCTCATTATCCCCCTGGTGTAAATCTTACATGGAGAACAAATAACACTTTCGGAATTTTAGAAGGTTTAGAAGGGTTACCTCAGTTTGCTAGTTCTAGTACTGTTAAATTAGCAGATTATGGTGGTAAGCTGGTTGTTTTGTGGGATGAGTATGTGCAGAGATTTGCGTATAAGAAGAAGATGATTTGGTGTGCAGAGATTTCACTTGAAAAACGCAACACTGAAGAGATTTGGGGGAAAGTCGAGTGGTTCGATGCGGTTCTTACAGTCCCTAAGTCTTATAAGTTCGTGTGTGCTAAATCTGTTACTGTTTGACAGGTTTGAACGTAATGAATCTGGTTATATCACTTTCTTTCTTTCTATAGTATGTCACTTATGAAGGAATGTTTTGTGCTTTTAGCGTAATGCTGCTACTGACATGGTTTGGCTTCTTATATATATATATCAGCTGCACTCACTTGCTTTGTAGGATGATTTAAGCTTATTTAGCGAGTTCTTTTAAGTGCCTCGATCTAGAAAGAAAACAGTGTTGAAATTAGCAGCAAAGAATACAAAGAACAAAACGGAAAAGCCGAAGAAATTGACATTGTTTTTAAGCGGACATTGTTTTCACCCCTAAACGTATGTACTCACTTGTAGACTGATTAAGCTTACTTTTTTCTATGAAAACACTTTTGCTTGTGTTGCATAGAAGAGTACAGTTCTCTTTACATTCACGAGAAGAGCTATAATGATAACGGAAAACAGAGGAACGAAATAGAATACTTCGATTAATGAAAATGACAGATTGATACAACGTTCATAAAACGCGATATCAACTTCTCATCTACAAGAGTTCAACATGAAACTCCGGCGAATGATGAGGAACGATTCTCAGAGAGAATCCAAAAGGAAACGATAAACAACAAATCCAAATCTTCTTATTCTTCTGCAAATGATCCTCATTAGCTATATATCTCTGCGTCTCGATTCTTCCTCTAACACTCCCATCGACCAATCTTCTCTTGCCACGTCTCACAGCTACTGTCTCCACTCATGTATTGCCACGTATCTAACCATATATCAATGCCTAGTTTCCTATATCATATAACAAGATACAGTTCTCTATTGTCTATTGTTCAGTCCATTGAGCTTCTGTTTTAGCTTCTTCTTAACAATTTGAGGATCCTCTGTTTTAGCTACCTTTTCTTTATTTTGACTTTTCAGTCGAAGAAGAGTAATCTTATTCAATTAACTCTAAGATTTTGTTTAAGAATTATTAACTACTAAAACTATGGTTTTCGACTCGATTAAAACGTTGAATCCAATTGTATTTATCACCAACACAAAAAAACGGTCGAATCCAATTATACAGAGAGTCACCGACTTGAATAACCTAGTGCAACATACTCGTGGGCTTTACTTTTTCTTGGCTCGAGACCCCTAATAATAACACATGCACATGATACTTACAAAAGAAACACCCTAATCCCATTGAAACAGAGGAAACTCGAGAAACAAAAGGACCGAGGAGAACGCAAACCCTAGAAAAACTCGAGAAGTAGAGAGATGAATTCTTTCACAGAGGATATATGGTCAATCATACTAGCGCGATTACCACTAAAGAGCATCACCACTTCCAAACTGGTTTGCAAGCAGTGGAAATCGATCGTCGAGTCTCCATACTTCCGTAAGTCTCTGTACCAAAACTTGCATTCTTCTTCATGGTCGCTCCTTACTTGGGGTGATAAGGCAGACTTTTTCGCAACTCTTTCTCTTTACGGATGCGAACCATCTATGGGCTCTTACAACTTGTCTTTCCTAACTAACAAGTTTGAGATTCAGAGAGACAAATACGATTATCCAATCTGGACTTACACGGACGTTGGGTTGATTTTGATCAGTGAAGTGTCTATCAGTGCAGTGTATGTGGCTAATCCAGTTTCACAGGATTGCGTAAAACTCCCTTCTCAAGTCAAAGATTATGCCTTCCCTTTGGGAATTGTCACACGAACTGAAAACGGCATCGTTTTGGATTACAAAGTTGTTTTGCTTGACATTAACGGGAAGGAAATAAGTTTCTTGATATATTCATCTGAGACAGGCTTGTGGAGTCTCAGCATTGTCCATTTGCCTACATCTTTGGGCTATCGATATTTGTCCCGTTCAATTAGCTTGAATGGAAATCTTTACTGGCTCAACCACAATAGTGACAATGAAGACGTTATCGTATCCCATGATTTCTATGCAACTGGCACGGATTCTGATCGATTTCGTGTTACACGTTTCCCTGATTCAGGAAAACATCCCAAATTCAAAAGAGCATGCACTGTTTTTCAAGGATTTCTCATGTATATGAACGTAGTGTCTATAACCAAAGATGATGGAAGTCTAGAGGATAAGTTAAGTATATGGAGGCTTAAGAGCTGGGAATGGCAACTAGTTTCTGAAATCTCTGCGGATTTTATTAATGCCGGTTTCGATCATATTCCGGTGACAATAAACTCTGTTGATGCTAAAACAGTCTATTTCTGGAACAGGAAGCATCAAATTTTGGTAGCTGCTAACATATGCAATGGGAAGTTTGTGCTCCATAGTGAATTGGAACATAGTGGTCACAGTCCGAATTCCTTTGAATGCTTTAAAAGATCAGACTGTCCCTCGTTTGTTCTCCCACAATGGTTGCATCTCACCCCGGTGAGAGGTGTTTAGACATAATATATGCAAGACTTCACTTTGTTTCTTTCTTTTTTGGTTTATAATACCGTTAGTTTCTTATCCAAGATGAAGAAGATTGTGCTTGGTTTATTTTCTTTAAGTGTTCTGGTTGGTCTAAGGAATAAAATGGTTAGGGCATTTTGTAGGTTTGAATGATCCTAGAATATATACACAAAATACTTTGAATTGTGTTACGGTTAACTTATTTAGTGTCAATGACCGCTAAAATGCTTTTGAAACGCCGTTTTGGTTGAATGTTTTGTTATTTTAAAAGAAAAAAAATTGCGTAGAAGCTGAGAATGGAAAAATACATGGTGAAAAAATGCGGCAACCCAAAAAAAAAAGCGGAATCAGCAAGAACTACTCAAGATTGTTCTTATCTTTCAGGCCCATTACGATCTGATCACCATCTCTATTATATACCCAGCCCACTATTAAATTAGCCTTCACGTTCTGTTAACCACGCGCAATCCGAGAAAGTAGGCTCACGCGCTCATGAACTCATTAAGAAAAATCGAGTCAAATCCCTAAATCCCCTCTTGAGTCGGAGAAGAAGTAGAAGAAATCGATTTCGTTTCGATGTCGTCCCTAAAGAAGAAGACGAAGAAACGGTCGCCGGAATCGACCCCAATTCCATCACTTCCCGATGATTTGGTATTGAGTTGCTTCGCACGCGTATCAAGATTGTACTACCCGATTCTCTCCTTAGTCTCCAAGAGCTGTCGAACCCTCGTTGCTTCACCGGAGCTTTACAAGACTCGGTCTTTCTTCAACCGCACGGAGAGTTGTCTCTATGTGTGCTTAGAATTCCCTCCTGACCCTAACCCACGTTGGTTTACTCTCTACCGTAAACCTAACCAAAACATCACCGAGAAGACAAAGAATTCAAGTGGGTACGTTTTGGTCCCAATCCCAAATCACCATTCCCCTAGTGCGAGTCTCGTAGCGGTTGGGTCTAATATCTATGCCATTGGTGGAACCATTGAGAATGCACCCTCTTCTAAGGTCTCAATTTTGGACTGCAGGTCTCATACGTGGCACGAGGCGCCAAGCATGCGGATGAAGCGGAATTACCCAGCTGCTAATGTTGTTGATGGAAAGATTTATGTAGCAGGAGGCTTGGAAGACTTTGATTCCTCTAAATGGATGGAGGTTTTTGATCCAAAGACTCAAACTTGGGAGTTTGTGTTGTGCCCTTTAGCGGAGAGATTCGTATACAGGAGCTTAGTGATTGATGGAGAAATCTACATTTTTGGGGATAAGGTTGTGACCTACAAGCCAAAAGAAGATAGATGGGGAGATGAAGGAGAGCATCAGAGTATGGATTTAGGTTTGTATTTTCATTCGTATTGTGTTATAGATAACGTTCTCTATTGTTATCGTCCTGGTGGAATGAAATGGTACGAATCAGAGAAAAGATCGTGGAGGAAGTTGAGGGGTTTGAAAGGATTGTCTAAGCTTGCTAGTAGTTGTGTTAGGTTGGCGGATTATGGTGGAAAGATTGCGATGTTTTGGGACAAGTATTCCCCTTCTAGTGGTTATAAGAGTCATACGATTTCGTGTGCGGTGATTTCCCTTGGAAGTTGCAAAAATCAGGGTATTCGAGGAAAGGTTGAGTGGTTTGATGATATGCTTACAGTCCCTAGCTCTTATAACTTTGTGGGTGCTCTTGCTGCTACTCTTTGATGATTGCCATACAAGATAGTTATAAATGTGGTGAATCGTTAGTGATTTGTGGGTGGTATATCATTTGTTGGATGATTGTGTATTGCGTTTCTTTAGCTGAATGCTATCGACATCATTTCTTTCCTAAATCTTTGATGGTTAGTTTATTTTGTTCTGCGTTAAGGCCTATGAAACGTTGTTTTGGTTGAATAGAAATTGTTCACTACTTTGATTGGAAGTAGAAGTAAAGCAAGATACCCATTTGATTGTCTAGCTTACAAATAATTGGCTTTCTATGTTGTAATGACTCAATGATGCAACTGGCTTCTTTTTCTTTCTTTTTTTCTTTGTCGAGATTTAAATGAAGACATATAATTGGCTTTCTATGTTGCAATGACTCCAATGCACACAAATGAATATGTAAAGAGGGTTATGGACGCTCTATACCTAAGCTTTGTTGTAATATCGGAACAATTGGAGTAAAGTAGTCACAAAACAAAAATGGCGAAGATCGAGGAAAGGTATAGAACGTGGACGGTGCGGAAAAAACATACTTTCCAAGGAAACTCTCGCGATGGCCGTTATAACTGCACCCTCACCGGTTGAAACAACAACTTGGTGGGACAGCGAAGTGAAAATGTATGTATGCGATGAGAGTAAGAGCCAAGAATACACAGAACAAAGAGGAAAAAAACCAGAGAAATTGACTTTGTTTTTTTGCCTATAAACATCTGCAGTCACTTGCTTGTAGCTAGATGATTAAGCTTATTATGTGGCTTGTCTCTTTGATAAACTCTTTGTTCTTAAACTCTTTCTGCTATTGTCTAATGTATGCCTCTTGAGACTAGCCGGTAATGTTGTTTTTGTTCTCAAGATATTGTTTTCTTTCCCCCCTAAATTCTACTGAGTTTAAGACTAGCTGTATGAGTTTATCGAAGTTTAATCTAAGCTGGCAAAGAGATATATTTCCTGTAAAGAGATAGTACAAAAGTTACAAGATTGTAAAAGGAGCAATCGAATCTGGCCAACACTCAAATCTCTATTCATATCATTTTTGAAAAATACCCTATTTATGTTTAACCCTCAACTTTTTTTTTTTCTTTTTGAAAACTAACTCTTTTTAATGTTTATAAGACTTTTTTTTTGTCCTAGATAAATCTTTAAAATTTCAATCCAAACATTTCTACTCTCCCTAAAATATCATCCCAACCAAAATGTCATTAATCGTCTTTAACAAAACCACATTGATAAAAAAATTTGTGTTCTGTGCTTACCTGTCCCTGGAAGCATCATTGAAACTGTTCAAGTCTTCGGGTGCGATAACATCAGTCATGGACTGTAGTAGTCTAATCATCAACAAGAAGAGCTAATGGAAGATTCAATGGAAAACATTTTAATCAACATGTATATACTAAGCCCGGCCCATTATTAAGCTAGTCCTCACGAGCAATCCAAACGAGTAAATTGCACGCGCTCGAGAACTATATTATTGAAGTCAAATCAAAACCCTAGATTCTGTATTCACTCAAAGTCGGAGAAGAAGTAGAAGAAACCTGTGCTTTCGTCCCGACAATGTCACCCTCAAAGAAGAAGAGTAAGTGGCCTACGTTGGAATCGACCACAGATCCATCACTTCCCCATGATTTGCTATTGACTTGCTTGGCACGCGTCTCTAGATTGTACTACCCGACTCTCTCCTTAGTCTCCAAGAGCTTTCGGACCATCCTTGCTTCGCCGGAGCTTGGCAAGACTCGGGCTTTATTAAACCGCACAGAGACTTGTCTCTATGTGTGCCTAAAGTTCCGACACGACCCTAACCAACGTTGGTTCACTCTCTGCCGAAAACCTAATCAAACCCTAACAAACGTCACCGACAAGAAAAAGAACTCAAGTGGATATGTTTTGGTTCCAATTCCAATTCCCAGTTCACCTCCTGCGCACTATGATGGTCTCGTGGCGGTTGGTTCTAATATAGTAATGTTTATTTGGTGGATTATGGTGGAAAGATAGCGGTTTTTTTGGGACAAGGATTTGCCTTCTAGTGGTTGTAAGAGCAGGGAGATTTGGTGTGCTGTGATTTCCCTAGAAAGATGCAATAATAGTCGGGAGATTCAGGGAAACATTGAGTGGCTTGATGTTGTGCTTACAGTTCCTTACTGTTATAGTTTTGTGAATGTTCTTGCTGCTACTGTTTGATGAACGCCAGACGAGACAGACTTGCATGTGGCGTCTCTTTAGTGATTTGTTGGTATCAAATCTTTTTGTTGGATTATAGTGTCTTGCGTTTTTTTAGCTGAATGCTATAGACATCGTTTGGGTTGTAAAAGGTTCACTACTTTCTTTGTCAAGATTAAAAGAAGACGAAGTGATAGTCTTTTTACTGTTTTCAGTTATATAGCGTCTTTTGTTGTCTAGAAAGCTCTGAACTTGTTGAAAGGCCTGATGATGAATGATTTTGCAGTTAGAGCTTATCAAAACTTCCAATCCACACACGTGTATAGGAAACAGAGGTTCTGAGTCTTACTCTTACCTCAATGGTGATATCAGTTGGTGTAAGATCTGAGACACTTCTATACTCGAGCTTCGCTGTACTAAACTTCACAATTGGCCGAGATTGTAGAAAGCTATAGAACATGGAAGGTCCAAAGAAACTCCTGCGCTTTTGTTTGTGTATATGCTTTCACAAATAGTTTAAAGATGATTTGAAAGCCTATGTGAAGTAGAAAATTATCAAAACCACAGGGAAAGAGTTTTTGTTTTTAGTAACAATGGTAGCATTACCACTGTGAATGTGTCTCCTGCCTCATAATCATGTAACACTGGTCTTGAATCAGTTTCTAGCTACATCAGCGATTATATGCGCTATTAAGCTATGGCTTTTAGACTCTTATCATTATGTAGGAACATCAAGCCAAGTGCCAATACCTTTATGCAGATACTTCCTGAATACAAATATTACACAATGATCTGAGTTTCATATAATAAATCAATGAAGAGAAGAAAATGCACCAATCGATGGACTTCAAAGAGACTTTCTTTGGCGCCTTCGTCTAGAAAGAAAGATGGTTTCCCGAGTTAAAAACATTTCTATAACCGAATTTGTACCGACCGGGCCGATATTCATAACCAAACCAAAATTTATTTTATTTCAATTTCTCTACGGTTTACATAAATAACTAAACCGATTTATTATCAATAAGTCTCAATATAAACCCTAAATCTGTCTTCTTCGACCTTTAATTTGGCGCCAAATCCGCAGTCACATATTTCTATTTCCCGCTCGAGCAAATTGATCTGATTGGAATCTTTGAAGCAGAGATAGAGAGAGATTCTTTAGTACATTGATCTAATGGCATCGAATTCGGAAGCGGGAGGATCGGCGGATTACGAAACATTGATGTCGACATCGGACGTTGAGTTATTGAAGAGGGCGTGGCGTAACGAGAAGGCGGCGCCGGAGATTCTTCAGTACGAA